ACTTTTATTCATCGGCCTCTCACATGTGTGTGTGTGTATGACATGTACAAACAACACTTTTGACAGAGGGCCTTAGACTGAGTCCTAAATGTGCATATCTAGAATTTAAATATATGATAGATCATGCAATAAAGACTTCTTTGCTCGTTTGCCAAGCGATCACACTCTTAACTAAGAACAATCGAAGGTCCGAATTATAATTACATAATTGATATCATAGATGTGCTTGTTTTGTGACAGCAGTGATATATATCATCGGTAATATATGAATAGTAACGATCCAAATTATATCAATTATAGCAGAAAAGATTACATGGGTCGCGATTGTGCACACGCCAATCATAATAGTGCTGTAGATATTTGTTCAGCAACATTACAAGTTTCTGCCGGTAAACCATCACCATAACCTCCATTATCACTACGGCTGTAATTTCACCATTACTACTACTACACTATTAATAATGATGGTGACTTCGCACTTACACCACTACACTGCTATTGCTTCTACAATTGCTACTGCTGATATAATTACTGATCAGTATAGCTTTTCCTGTCTCTTCTCTACACTGCCACTTTTACTACTGATAATTCTACCGCTGCCAATATTACCATCATCAGTACAGCTTCTACTACTGTTATTTCATCCTCAGACTAATGTTATTATTACTAATACAGTTTCTATTCCTGGAATGTCACCGAAAGTGCTGTTGCTTGTTCAGTACACAAACTAATATCGTCACTTGCTCCACGACGCGGTAACAAGGAGGATATGAACAGGCTTGAGATTACTTTTTATGTTAACTTTTGATGACTGATGAATTGAGAGAAAGTCACACCAATATTCGGGTGTCAGTATCACTGAAGGAAATATAACAGCGGTAGGTCAGTGGAATTCAATACATTCAATCACGCTTCCTAACATGGAGTACAAAAAGCAATATCATTATTTCATCTCATCTGAAGTATTAGAAGATATGCTTATATCATATCCTAAGTTTGTGATGTAATCTCATATTTTAAATATATATCAAAGCTACCCGGGCAGCCACCCGAACAGTTATATAATGGACAAAACAAGACTACAAATCACGAGCGAATAACTGACCTGTCCAGATATATTTCGCTGGCATGCTTCCCTGGATTTAAAGCACCTCGCGTCAGGACCTGAAACGAGCCTGCATAATGATGATTGATTACGTAAAGCATGATGTATAATTCAACGTTTTGATTTAGGAGTGTTTGACTTATGTAACAAGTGCAGTTGCAAAGCAAATGTAAGGTAGAGTGAGAAAGGCTCCTGGTTACTATGACCTGTATAATCAACCTAGGCCTGACCTCTGAGCATTCGGAAATGACACGGTGGATATATTTTCTCTCATCATGGAAATGGACTCGATCAGACTGGCATAAGGCTTCCGAAATGACTGACAAGGGCAAGAGGAGAGAGATATGGAGTAGGTGCTTGTCCGGCCGGAAGATTTGGGTTGGAGGAGTGACAGTACAAAGGGAATCGATCCTTCTCCGAGGAAAGTTGAGTCTATAGAAGCAGAAGACACTCGTTCGAAAATATTGACGATTCCAGAAGCAAGGCGCAAAGTAGGTACCAGTCCCTCCCCTGTTTGGAGACGGACGGTCGCTCGAAACTACGGACGGAAGCAGAGGGAACAAGGTGTGAAGGAGGTGCCATCTGGGAGGTAGGGGAGGGGGGGGTCTGTGGGAAATCGATCTCTCCGCAGGAAGCTGAAGTTTGCAGATGCAGCTGAAACGGAAGAAGAGAGGAATGGCAACGTCCCTCAAGACTCAGAGAAGATAAGAGCAGAGTTACCACTTCGCTTGAAAGCGCGAATGAAAATTAATAGTGGCAGAAAAGTTTATATTGTGAACTGTTTTTGTTTTGCTTTGTTTTGTTTTTCTCTCCATAAGGAGGACTTTAAAAATTCGGGTTTTCATTACAACTTTTACAAAATTACAAATACGGCACGCGATTTTTTTTATCGTTGCAAGGAGGCCAAATGAGATTACTTTTTATAAATGCCAATAAAAGGGACAACTCTGCATGTACAAAAATGTTAACTTGAATGAAAATAAGGGTAATGATTGGTGGTAACATAGACCATAGGTTCATATTTTCCATTTGAGTGACTAACAAAGATAGAAAGGTAAATTGAAACATAAGTTGCAGTTCGGACCAACATACTTTTGAGTACTCGCACACACACACACACACACACACACACACACACACACACACACACACACACACACACACACACACACACACACACACACACACACACACACACACACACACACACACACACACACACACACACACACACACACACACACACACACACACACACACACACACACACACACACACACACACACACACACACATATATATAATATATATATATATATATATATATATATATATATATATATATATATATATATATATATATATATATTATATATATATATATATATATATTAT